GTGTAGTTTGTTGCTGAAAAGTATAAACATAAGTTCACATTTAGATTATAGATGACCTGTATGAAGAAACAGTATGCTATCCTGACATTTTATTTCTAATTCTCATTTAGGTGTCTGTTGCTGTGGCTTTAGGAACAAACTATTGACTCACTGCAAAATTTATAAGTGAATGAGTTTATCATTACTCTTTCTTTTGTTCAAAAATGTTGTATTAATGTATTTTTAATTTACAAATGCCTTTCCTACAATTTCAAATGAATCCCGAAGACTACGTAGTGGGCTTTTTGCTGAAAAAAAAAAAAAGGATAAAGCAATATTGGTGTGCTGAAGCGTTGGTGGAAACTTTAATTTCTAWGTAAAGTCTCTGATGAATATATGAGCTTTACATTATGAGTCACCGGAAGCCATGTGATTAGTCACCAGTGGTCGCCTGCTGATTGAAAACACACGGCCGACTGAGACACAATATGCTCTGAAAGTTCATACGAAAAACCTGCAAACAAGATAAACTTTGCTTCGTTTCTAGCAAACCCTACCAGACCACTATATACCAGTGCTTCATTAAACTATGGACAAACTGCAAACTGTAGTGTCAGTTTAGCTCTAACGGTGGACAGGTTCTGACAGAGCAGTCCGTGAATAACAATCGCTGAAAGACAAAGAAAGGTCTATACTTAGTTTTTAGCCYRTCAAATGGCATATGTGCATGACACCTCTCCTTGTGTAACACTGCCGTGAGGCAGATGTCCCCCCAGTGTGAAAGCAAGACCTTTCACAAAACTGGTAGGTGGGTATGCCAATGACAGACACTGAGAGGAGAACATAACGAATCACCTTCAGTGTGGCTCAAACAGCTGGCTCAGAAATGCACACAGCCTCGTAATGTTCACTTGGCTTCAGATTCTTGTGGATAATGGAGATAAAAAAGCTTAAACTATTTCAATAAATCTATCTGCAAATGGGGAAGTGATTTTTTAAACGATCTTGAAAAACTAAAATAAAATTGATTTTATAAGACTAGCAATCAGACAGGTGAAATGTTGTAATAAATCCGTTAGGCTTCGCAAGATATTTAAAATGTATCATCATCATGATCAAATCAGCTGCTTTSAGTTCCAAACACAAAGGATAGATTGGTCTTCAGTAAAAGGAAAGTTATAGTATTTCCAAGTAGACAGAATGATGATTTTAAATACTGTAGGTTTTCCTAATTTTTACAAGTTAACTCATATTTTAAGACAATAAAACAAATGTTAACATAAAAAAAGAAAAAAAATGCATATTAGAGGTGGGATTTAAGCACAGATTTTAATCTTTGCCAAAAAAATGATGATCAACATGCAACAGCAGTAATAATCCAGGTTTGTTTGATGATGATTTTAGTTTGATAAGTTCCTATTCTATGATATAATTTTCTAATTTAATACTTATTTTTGCAACCAAGTTTTTGTGTTGAATTTGTGGGGAAAGAAAACACTTGAAGACTTGAATGTCAAGAGTGATAATAAAGCTTTTAGCAGCCTGTTAATTACCAACTCCTTTACTGTTAACTTACCCACTTCTCATTATCTAATCGTTTAAAAGGCACTCACAGCAATGTTATTAGAACGAGTAAGGAAAAAAGTAATCTACAAAAAAATAAAATGTTTTTTATTCTTTCATATTAAAAAGGTAATGTGTTTTTAAATTAACACACAGCCACTACCTGTTAGTGGCCAGTTAGCACCATCTGGGTGCTGAAAGTTGTACTTCATGWGACCATAACTTCATTTTCAATTTTTTATCACATGACATGAAATGATAGGTAGTGGTGTGCATTTTGTTAGGGAATGTTGTGACTTTAGTGCTATKTTGAGTTTTAAGCTGTGGATTTTCTGTCTCGTAGATGTTTAAATGTTTGGACTTTTCCTGTGACTGCCTCTTCAAGTCTTTATTTGGGTTTTCACAAATCACTTTTGTATGACGAATTTGTTATGTGTAATGGTTGTGTAATTTTGCTGTGATAATATGTGTGTTTCCATCTATGACCATGGAAAGAGCTCTGGTGTTGAGTTTACTGCATCAACTGTTTGCCATACAAAAACAGCTGAAGTGAAATTAGGTCACCAGTGGCGACGTCCACAATAGAGCTGTTTAGGATCGAGCTGACTGAATGAGCAGTCTTACTAATCTAAACGTTTTTTTTTGCAAAGCTACCTGTGTTTAAATACCGAGCTCCATCTGTATTGTGCTCYGCCCCCAACAACCACCACCAACATGAACAGTAAAGCTAACCAAACTGCTTTTGATGGACCTAAAAAGCAGAAMCCACATCTGGGACATGGAGGTCAGCGGGAAAATCCTCCCTGCTCAAACGTGTGTGTGAGGTGGGAAATCCCTACACTCACCACAATTAACATGGTTAATCCAATTTAAAAAAAGCTCCTCAGAAAACATAAACTCAAAAAAATTGTTTTTGATCTTTTCAATAATTATCTTAGACTTAGTCATAATTAGGGGTGCAATGATTCAGAAAATTCACGGTTCGGTTCGGTTCGATACTTTAGTCTCACGGTTCGCTATTTTTTCAATTCAAAAAAAGAGAAATGTCCATGCCCCTTTGAACTTGTAATTTATTTAAATTAATCATGAACATTTATTTAACCTCAAAAGAACCATTTTAAATTAAATGTTGCTGAAACAGCAAGTTTCTCAGTGGATCTGCACTCAAAAATGCAGCCTAGGTGGAGTAGTYGAACACAGATCCACTGATCCTTCAACACAGAGCATCTTCAGAAGACAAGCTGATAAAGTAAATTTTAAAAATCTGTATTGTTCGATACAAGTGTGTATTGAAACTAAAGCACTGTTCGATACGGGTACATGTGTTGTTGCACCCCTAGTAATAATATAGAAAAATTTACTGTATTAAACAGCAGTCTTACAAATGCTTGATCCAACTTTATAATCATTAAAGCTACTTTTGAGGATAAAAACATGTTAGTATCTAAGAGGCTGCAGACAGGCAGAGCAGGTTTTATTGGAAAGGTTAAACAGTAGAGGGAAAAGAAGAACGGATAGCAGGGACATACAGGTCAAGTAATCTGATCAGTGGAAGCTTCATAAGCAGTAAATTACACCTTAAATCATCATAATGACTTGACAATTATCTGACAGAGAGCTGGTATTAGCTTTGACAGCCTATAGGAGACTACATTATGCTTTATTAGTACTTTAATGCTTTATAACAATTTAATTGTTATATCTTGAAATTCTTATATGGTAAATGACTGCTACACAACTGCTATAAATTAGATTTTTGTATACTATTGGTTTTTATGCATTTAATGCCTGTAATCTGTCATGCTTGGCAGTTATTTAGGGGTTTAAACAGAAACAGAACACAGAAACCAGAGCTGACCTTCTGTTTGTGCATGGTGAACAGGCAGACACCATCCTGGCCTCTCTCCTGGCTCTCATGGCCCCTCTTCAATCAGTGTCTCGCTGTTTTGATGTCAAACAGAACCCTTTCCGACATGCTTTGTCACCATCCATTGCTGTGGCTCSAAAGAGAGAGAGAGAGGAAAAAAAATCCCTCCAAGGTCCTGATTTTCTACATCCAATATCAGTCAGAAGGAAAATGATGAGTCAGACAACGCTCACAGGTAACGGGTTGTTCAGGCTGATTGGATYGTGCTGCCTGGACAGAAATTAAAAATATCGTATCTGGGCTACAAAAAAATGTCAGCAGTCATCCGATTACTGCTAAGGCTAAAGACTCAGAGGTGCACCGGCTTGCTTCACATACGCTTTGCTGAGCCATAGATGGAGCAGCTGTTCGAGGGAGGATGGCTCCTAGACGAGAGCGATCTGATTGGCTGGCTGGCCATGGTGTGTGTGTGGGATGGCTTCCTTTGGTAGGCTCCCTGAAAATGACTTCTCATTGAGGGTGGTCCTTCTCATTTTCCTCCACTCCTCTACCACCCTCATCCCACCTCCCTTCTACTCCACATCACTTTTTCCAAATCTCCTCCTCACCGTTCCTATCTACATGCTGCAGGCACGCTTTTTTTTTTCCTTTTCACTGCTGCATTAAAGCATCGCTCTTAAGATGGAGCTGGTGCACACATGCATAAATACACTCATATGTGGAGAACAGACGGTCAAAGCAGCTTGCGGATGTAACAATGCTGGAAAAGTTGATGAGGTAAATTTTCACAACTACAAACACCCTCTTAAATTCTCACCATCTTTGTAACCGTTTGAATATGCTGACAATAGAGGCTTTAGAGTAGAAATGAAATTATTTCCAACTGATCTTTCCACACTGAAATGTTGTAAAATATGTTGCAGAGGCAAAACACTTGAGTGAATAGCACCACACCCCAACTGTTTGATAGAAAGCAACCTTAAAAGGGGAAACTGTTTCTGAGTATCATTTTCTTTCGATGAGGTCTTGGCTCAAAGGTAAGTGAAAGATCACATTATGCTGATCTCAATCACTGCGGGCTAATGTCTTGAACTGCAGAGAATGATCGATAATCTAGAAACAGAGAGGGCAGAAGAGCAGCACTGACACTGGAACAAAGGCAGCGCAAAATGCTCAAATTTAAAAAAAGTAAAAACTCTCAGCAGCAGGACTCTGATGGTCAATGCGAAGAGCAAAAACTCATATTTGAGTTATTTATTAAAAGTAGTAAATCTATGAAAATCTATCAAGTATGCAAGTTCCTAAGTATATATGTGTTGAGTTTTTTTGGAAATGGTGTAAATCTGCAGCCATACAATATCAAACCATCTATCTATCTATCTATCTATCTATCTATCTATCTATCTATCTATCTATCTATCTATCTATCTATCTATCTATCTATCTATCTATCTATCTATC